CTGATAACCAACATATTATTCATATGCACTTTACAAATATTATTTTAACAAATTTTAATAAGGAAAATGTTGTAAATAAAAGTACCATACTCTTTCATCACACAATATTAAAAAGATTAAATTAGGAGGAGTCCTGTTCCAATCTTTTAAAACTAACCAAAAGAAATGCATTGACTTTGAATTTTTCCACAATAATATATTCATAACTATAATTGCATGTTTCATTTAGTAAAAGATCTGCAAAGTTTAAGAAATGTCCGCTTTGCAACTTGCAAGAATTACATATTTGTAAAATCTTAAAGCAAGTGATTTGTATGAACAAAAATATACTGGCACTTATGGTTTTATGAGACGTATTTTCTTGAAAACATAGATGTAAATCAATACCATTACCAGTTATTATCTATCACATTTCATTTACATTTTCCAAGTATGAGAAATGTCAATAGCATAAAAGAGTTTTCTATCCGTATAATTCACAACCAGTAGAGTCTTTTCATTTAATTTATGAAGTTAGAGATGTGACTTGTGCTACTAAACAGTTCAAAAGTTTGGACTGCAGAAATGTATGATATTAAGTAGTGGAAACCATAATGTTTTCAAACATATATTTTGAAAGAAATTAGTAAGCCACAACATGTTATATGATTTCTATTTTTGAGGATACATGGATAATGATACAGGGTAATAATATATTAAGTGTACACACTTGAAGATACCTGTGCCAGCAATAATTGAGAGGAATTAAGTTTCAATATATATGGAGTAGGAGTGCAATGCAATACAGTCCATCAGAAAATTGGTATAGCATATGTGAAGAATTAGTTGGTCACAACAAAATTTATTTTTGTGTGGTATTTACTACGTAACTTATTTGTATAAATGTGGTACATAACTACAGATAAACATTTTATCTACATGACACTGTGAATTGCGATAATTCACAACAGTGTTTTTAGAATACTAAAGTCATTAATTTTAAAGTAGTATGTATTAAATAGTTTTATTGTATAGTCTCAAAAAACTTGCATGTACCTTGCAGAAACCCTTAAAACACATTCACAAGAAAACACTCATGCATACATAGAATATGCAACAATTATTTCACATTGCACATTTGAACATTTGAAAATGTAGTCTGAAGGACAAAAGAAAATTTAGCTAAGTAATAATATAGAAGTCAAGCATAAAGAAGGTTCCTTTTTTGTTAAAGTTATATAACATTTCATTAAGGAGAGCATGCAAATCTCACAAATTTGCTATATAAAAACTTATACCATTCCAACATAATTTGTGATTAAATAAACAGCATAAGTAATATATCGATTGTTGTTAACCATTGATTGATGTATGAAAGTTAATAGTACATCAATTTTTTCCCAATTCAATATGTTGTACATGGAGAACTGTATTGTTGCAACTATTGAAGAAAAATACTATTTTGTAGTAACATTGTTTGAGATTTGGAATACTTCTTTATTCACAACGACACGGAATATCACATTCCTAGATCTTTCAAGTTTTAGCATTGACGCTAGTCTATATCTCTTAGTGCTCAGTCAAAAATGAATAGCTTAATATTTAAACATGTACTTATGTAAACATGCATTCTACCACATTTGCACCTGGAATAAAAGCATATCCAGTCACATTTTTACATTCAAGACCAAAACCAAAATTCAAAAAGAAATAAAATGCGTCAGATTACAAGAATAAAATGAGTCAAGAAAATAAAATAAAATATTGTTATAAAAGCAACTGTGAAATGTGTAAATAAGTATTCAACAAATACAATTAAAGAAATAACATATACCAATCTTGGATATATTATAAAAAAATATTTTTCTTTTCAGAATGTGGACTCTTTTTAATAATATTACTTGCAACATAGATCGCAATTCATTAAAATAAGGAAGTTTTATCTTTCTCAATATTCAAAAGAGTGCTTGAGATGTGATTTGGAAATGAAGTTGTTATAGTTGCATATATTTTTTATGAGCAGTGGTTTAAAAATGAATTTTGTTCTTTTTGGAAGTTACATGCAAAACACTTTCAAGCATTCAATTATTAAGACATTTAAATACCATATTATCAGGAAATGTTAAAGTATATGACAAGAGTTCTATGTCTATCTCGTTATTGCAAGAAACACTATTTATGCTCATTTTATTGAAATACCAAATTTTCCAGGCTGAGCCCTTTTTCTCTCAAAGTTCTTCAAGATGTATTGATTTTATCCCAGCGTAAATACATCACATCACCAATTTCTAGTGACTTGATTTCTCATTGAGCTCTATAAATCTAAAAGAAGCAAGCAACTCTGACATGAATTACTTGACATATTTATGTTTTTTTATGTCATCATAAAAAATATGCAGTTATTATTCCATGGTTTTTATTAAGAAAGATGTAGTTTTCCCTTTCTGTTTTTTAAAGCTGTATTTTCCCAAGTATTGAACAATTCATTCTGTAGAATTTTCTTTAGCTTACCAAACTTCTATATGTTCTTCTCCCTCATGCACAAGTTCTTGAATTTTAGTTCTAAAACAAGCCACAGTAAAACCTTGTCATAAGAGAACCTATTTATAGGAGACAATAAGGCTATCTCTAATCTCACTATATATATTATGTGCATTTTTCTCCCATGTAATAGACCTGGTTCCAAGAGTTTCCTACGAGAGGTTCCGTTCTCGACAAGTCTCTGTTGAGAGGTTCCAGAGGAATTTTCTCCCAGATAAGATTCAGAACTTGAACAAACAAATTTTATCACATGACAAACCAGGAGAGGACTTTACTGTTAAGTACCTTTGACAAAGGCTGCATAAGAAGGGATTGTCATCCACAGAAATACTCTTCCAGAAAACTAGCTTCTCTGTGAAAAATGAAAATTTGCTGCCACTTTCCCTGTGGATTGTTTCATGGAAGGCATTAAGGCAAACAATATTTGATGAGAATTTGTTCATTCTAATATCCTCATTGTGTTCAGGCAAGTGGGAACAGTGTGAGCCATGCAGTTTTTGATGTGGGAACAGTGTGAGACTCATCAACTCAAAGCGTTCTGTACTTCTCATCTGTTGTGTACTTTACAGTCATAGGTGAAGATACATCAACATACATTAATATTTCCCACTAATAAGAGTTCCCACTACTAAGAGATATACATCTCTGCCCCCCCCCGATATTTCTCTTTACGGAGTTCTACAGTTATTCTACAGATTTCAGAGAAGTTACATTTATTGTCCAAAAGCTACAATTCCTTATCCCAACAAAACTATTACAATTTTAATGTACGTTCAAAGTGACATATTAATTGACTTTGAACTTTTTCATAAAGGTTAATAATATTCAGAAACAGAAATGAAGATACTTCATATTCTTCTATTTAAGTGTATATATTGATTTCCATTAAGTTTAGTCTAATATTTGAATAAAATATAAATACAGATTATTTTATGTAGCAGTCAAGGAAATTCAAGAGATGCAACACATTCAAGAGTCAATACTATAGAGTACCTATTATTATTATTACTATTACTTTTTCAACTATAAATTATTAAGAGTTCAAATATCACTTTTCTGGGTAACATGTGGTCCATATATCTAAAAATAAACTTACATAGTATTCCCAGTTTGATGAAATAGAGTAAATTACTTGATATAATTTATGATTACAAAAGTCAAACAGACTTTTCTTCTCAAAATTCACACATTTTCACTAAAATTAACATGTATAAAGAAATAGAAGTTGATTTGTTCATGGAGAATGTAAAGGTACACAATCCGCATTCACACACACATTCTCACATTTACATAAGTACAAGTATAATTTCTTATATTACTATAAAACCAGTTTTTCCCATACATGTTATAACATGCACTCCATGATACATGCATTCAAGTCTGTTTATTATATAATAAAAATATACTTATGATAATTATGCATGTGAGCATGTTAGATGACTGACTAATTTACTCAAATTTTTCATAACATTTGTCTATACCATAATTTTCAAGATAACATATAATGGTTCATTTATTACCAAAATAGTTTTGCATGCTTTTCCACATCTGATTATTAAAAAAATCTATGAAAGTCTTCTTGAATTCCTATGCATTGAGATTTGTTCCCCATGAAACGAATTGTAAAACAGGGAGACTTGCAGAATACTTATTTAAAACAAGTCAAAATTATTACTTGAATGGCAATATAATTCATCAGGTAATTTTTTTGCAATGTGTTGATGAATTATGCAGACAGCATTCTTACGACAAGCTTCATAGTCTTTATTTATCTTGAGTAAATTAGTATGGGACTGAAATTTGCAATTTTGCAAAAGGTTTTGCAAATTTGCTAAATATAACTCAAACCCTGCTTTCCAGTTACCTTATTCCATAACTTAAATAAACAAAAATATTTGAACATAGTATGAAATGAGCAGAATTAGCATTTGACTGTTGTGCAAGTATGAGAGTGCTGTCTACATTTGTACTCATTAGTTAAATAACAGAAATTGAGAGGCTGTCTAGTGATAAATGTGTTATAACCATTCATCACAAACGGCTTCAAATTTTTGGAATGTCATGAAAACTGAATCGCAAAATATTGAACACATACAAATTTCTAAATTTAAATGCATTAATACATCTATAAACATTATTTATAAAATATTTTAATATCACTGCAAAATTGTTAGAAGTTTGAGTTGAATAATATAAAACTATTTCAAGTGATATTCTTTTTGTCATGTTTGCTTATTGAACCTACATACTATTGTCAGAAACACAGCAACAAACTAGGAAAAATTTGCACTTTATGTACCTTATGTTCATTCGCCCATGCTTTCATAATTGGCATTTCTATCTATACTTTTCAAATATCATTACATGGATACAGTTCAAAATACATTCGTACAAAAAGCAAATTATGGTCACTGACTCAGGTAAATTTTTCTGCAATTAAAGTTAAGAAGCTTCACTCCACTGCCAAATTAAAATAAAACTTTTGGGTACAATAATACTTAACAATACACTTACCATATAATTTAACTGTATGTACTAGTGACCAGTTAAATTAATATAAAATTTGGAATTGGAAGGTTAATGGTAGCTTCATCTGTTATTGGATGAGTATTACATTACCTGCAGGGACAGTTAGGGGGTCAAGCAGACTGGACAAGGTGTGACGAACTAAGTCATACGGAAGTGAAGATCGCCTCGGCATGCAGTGGGCATGCAGACAGACTGAGTTCTCTTTAATGCCCAATGGTGTCAAGACACCTGTGTTAGCAAAAATCAAGGGGATTAGTTGCTCTCTTCTCTACAATAGCAACACATAAATTTAAAGCGTTGGCACAGAACATAAATAACATGACGAAAGAATGCACTATATCTCTGAACCTCTTTCAATAAACCAAAATCCCAGGTGGGTCAAAATTTAGCATATATATCATGACAATATTTTTAAATTTTATACTAAAACAGAATAATAAAATATTTTTAAATCTTCAGGAAACTGAAGTAAAACAATAGCATCTAAGAAATAGAACTGTATTTCAGTAAAAATAAAATACTTGTTGCTACTGATAATTCATTCATCAGAAGCATTTTTTGCAGAATGTACTTGAAATAAATCTCCTTTTATTTTTATTACTTTTATAAACAATAATAAATTCTATAAGTATAAAACTGACCTCTATTTTTTAAACACAAACATAATAACAAATTCATTTTCAAATTTATCTTTCACAAATTGGTTGTTTCTTTCTAGGAACCAATAATTTCCTTAAAAATTTTGTTTTATTGTTGATATGAACATTTGGCTTGCATAGCATTCTAAATTTTGACCCACCCTGAATTATAAGAAAATCAAATATTAGAATGTTCTATTAATCTAGACATAGTCACATGCTTCATCTATAACCAACAAAATAAAAATATGGCAATTATATTCAGTAAAATTATCAGTTTTGTAAGCTAAGAACATGAAATTAACAGTAATACTCTACAGTTTTACTGGTTGAACGGAGCACTTTCCAAATATCATAAATAATGAAGCATATTTTATCCAACAGCTGACAGCTGGACCTGTAACTTTTTCAAATATGTATGGGAAATTTTCTTTGAAATTCATGTTTTCCTCTGAAATTATACTTCAGTAACTCTGATAATGAAATAAATATTTCCATTAAACATGATTTACAAACAGAATTTTAATTCATCATTTAACAAAAACAGATAAACTTGAGGGACATTGTTGAAGAACATGTGAACACCATCTCTAAAGTTTGGCTCAAGATAATGAATATGTAACAAAATTCTCCTCTGATTAATCTACGTTCATTTCAGTCCTGTTATAATCTTCTCTAGTTTTGTCTAATTGTTGAAACTTCAAAAATATAATTTGATTTTGTGCCTATCCAAATTTATTTTGAAATGTGCAAGTGCATTATCATGAACAGAGAATAACTACTGATCTTAATTACTCTATGAATAAACACAATTTTACACATTCTTCACTTTTGAATTTGTTTCCATAGTCCAAAACCAAATATTCATTAAAAAATAACTTCATTGTGAATACACAAACTCATCATTTTGGACTAAAAAAGGGCTTAGGCTTCAATTCTCTCTTACAGATAATGATAAAAATATCTGAGTCATTACCTAATTACAATTTAGCAAATTATACAACATACTTTTTATGTCAACCTATATATAAACTTTTTTACCAAAATTTTTAAGTGTTTGAAGTTTATTTCAGTGTAATTAGTGACCTGAATACTACATTCCACAGATGCTTACATAAAACATCCAGTAAACATAATTATGTAGCATTTGTGTTATACCAAATACCAAAGAATTTGGAAAGATTAGTTTTAAATCGTATATGATCATTCATGGTTTGGGGAGAATGTAATGGAAATATGAGGAAATGGCATGTAAACATAGATCACACAATTGTTGTAATAGATTCAAAGCCTTGAATTAGTAGAAATGTTTCAAAATAATTCTGCAAGTGCACAGACAAAAACTTGCTACGCATAATAAATACCTAGGCATTTCTCAAAATTACAATTTTTTTCATAGTAATTAATACTGTTTAACACTTGTATTACAATAATAACTTGATTTGAATAAGAACTTAATTTTGGGACTTATCCCTTATCGTAATGAATCGACTCAGACATCGCAAGATTGGTGAATGAAAGTGAAGAACAAAATGCGGGAAGAAGGGAATTGTTTACATAATGCGAATTATTATGCACTGGCTCAAGGATGTTTTTATATTACCCTTCATATCCTAAGCTAAATATTTTAAAATTTTTACTGACTGGGTACATTTTGGACCCACTATATTTTTCAAAATAAATACCTATTTTTTAATATTAATATTGATATTAATATTCATATTTTTTATTATTATTATTATTAATATAAGATTATGATTGTATGGATTGATATAATTGTTCATATTTCAAGGTAATGAAAATAATTTTAATTTTAATTTAGAAATATAAATACTGATATTTGATTGTACATTTAGTTCCTCATGTAGCATGTTTTGAAGTTCATTATTCGTTACTCTATAAGGATCCAGTTTAGAACTCTGTAGCCTTATCTGTGGGTAGTTAACAATCACCTAAATTTGAATTCAATTAAATGTATTTAAAATGTTAAGACTCAAACTTGCCAACAGTCAAGTTTTAATATTTTGAAATAATAATTAGAATCAACATTTAATAAATGGATACAAAATAGTCCACTGACATTATGAAGTATTTAATATATTAAATATCTAAAAACAAACCACTAAGTGTTATCTACAAATAAAAGAATGACAAACAAATACATGAACTGCCAGAATTATACTTTAAAATCATCAATAACGTTTTAAAAAAATATATAGCGTGGGTAATACATATTATACCCATTCAGTAAATGAGGTGTAAATAGCATAGGCTGAAGCTCTCCACCATGGGCCGGAGGCCGGAACCTCCTGATTCAACTTCAACATGCATGCACCTTCAAAATTTGCCACCACACCTTTATTTGTACTGGTGCGGTGCGATGGTGTGTTCCGTTTGCCATGTTTTCGTGGAAGTGAGCCAATTCTGTTTCATTCATTACAATAAGGGATTTAGTTTTAAGAGTGAAAATAGGTTCACAATGGGACCCAACTCAGAACTGTGTGTCATATCACATACGGCCTAATACAGTACAGCCCAATACAGTACACGAGTACAGCTAAGCGTTTATTTGAAACTTACTTATACCCCTGTGATAAAATTGTACAAAATATCCAATAGTCAACTTAATTTTACAAAGATTTAAAATATTGCGCGTTTCTAACAATCTTTGCACTGGGGTAGTTGAATTCAGAAAAATCTCAAAAGTTATACAAGATTCCAAAAGGTCTCATTTGGTACAGTTTGAGAAGCATTACATGGGCCTGAAAATTGGAATTTTAAGAACATAAGATGCACCATGTACAATCAATATGTTAAGAAACAGCATACTTCGTAGGTTTCATTGTTTTTAAACAAATTTTTACAAAATTCTTTAAAGCATTCCCAAGATTAGCTCTTACAGAGAGAAAGAGAGAGAGAGAGAGAGAGAGAGAAATAGTCTGACATACAGACACACAAAGAGACATTTATCTTGCAAATTCACACTTTAGTTACTGGAACACATCCAAAACAGGATGGAGTCAGAAGGGATGATTGACCCTTTTAAGGCTCCTTTTTCATTGACAAGAAAGTGGACAAAAGTGGGATTTGAAGGATTTGTATTTCATATCCCAAAGTCCTCATAGAACTAGGATTATTGACAAATCCAATAAGCCTGGTAGAGATTGGCTCAGACCCAAATTTTGAGATGCACATGGAGCAAGATCATTAATTCATATGGTAGTTATGAGGAGAAATTACATTTTGAATTGCAATTTGATAATTTTTTAGTTAGAAAGATACTCTTTTAATAAAATTTGAATAGAACATGATTTGTAGAGCTCTACATCAAAATCAAGAAAGCACCCTACCCAAAGCACCAAGCTCTTTTCAATGAAAGCATTTTTTTCTGAATTGGCTGGGAGAACCAGTATGTCAGGTGTGTTACATAATCCCCAAGCACACACACACATTCTCACACATGCATGCACATTCCCTTGCATACACTCTTGCATGCACACTCGCACATGAATTCCCTTACACTTGGTCTGACAATGTTTCCACACTAGTTATCAAATGATGTTATAATTTCCAGAACGGGATGACTGGTTTTGAAAAAGAAATAGAAACTGCATCTAAGTGAAGTAGAAAAATATTGTGTTTGACTGAAAATGTATTTTGACACAAAGTACCACAAAAAAGTAAAGAATTTTCTTAATTGTATTGATGATCAATTAAAATAGATGTCACAAATATTTACCACGGTAATTCAGAAAATGTGACTGTGGTTTTGTCTAGCACTAACTTATATCTAAAAATTTTATTCTAATGATATGACTTATATGAAATAATATAATTCAAATATAATGTCTTATATCATTCAGTTTATTTGAACTATGTTTTAAGAGATCATTATCACCATCGTCAAAATACCATGAACTATTGGTTCATTCCGCCTTCAAGAGTGTCCATCCATCAACTTATGGGCCTGCCGCAACTTTTTTCTCATAAGAGCATTAATTGTAAAGGGGTTTTAGCATTTGATATTCTGGCATAGAATTCCTTATTCCTTAGACATTATCAAGCCAATTTTTTTCTCAGCATGTCCACTTTTTGCTGATAGGTTTTAATCTTTAATTCAACTTCAATGTTTTTTCTATTATGGTCTAGAATTGAATAGCCTGCCAATGAACTTGGAAGACAACGAAATGAGAGTTCTTATAATTTCATCTAATCTGAAGAGCCCAGTTTTGAAATTCATAGGTTACCATTGTTACTCCCATTATGTAATAGAATTTCAGTTAGGAACTTTCTTTCTCAAGAGTTTTTCAACTTGAGACATGCATTCTTTTAAATTTATGAATTGGTACACTGATAACATTTTTATCA